GGAGTATGTCGCTATCTAGGTTCGATTTTGTTATCACTCATCGACCTGGAAAGCAACAAGGACTATCTGATGCCTTATCGAGGAGATCGTATCTTGTACCAAAGACTAGAGAAGCAACGTTTGATTAACAATGTATGACGTTGTTGAAGCCAAAGCAATTTTGGCTTTGCGCTACTATTGTATCAATTGATGCTGACTTCCTGAATCAGGTACGTGCCGTAACCATTGAAGATTCAGTAGCCATTGATATCAAGCAACATGCCAATGATGACAAGTTCAAGGTGGAGGGAGATCTTTTATACTTTGAGGAGCGGTTGTATATTCCAAAAAGACCAGCATGACTCCGAGTTCTTCAATCTCGCCACAATTTTCCAACTGCAGGACATTTTAGATTCAACAAGACCTTGGAGCTTATTTCTTGAGATTTTTGGTGGCCTCAAATGTGGAAGGATGTGAAAGATTTTGTCGTCTCCTACGACATCTGTTCAACATCCAAGAATCCTCGGCATCACCTTTATGGACTCCTATAGCCATTGTCGATTCCACGTCGACCATGGTCTTTAGTTTCCATGGACTTCATCATGGACCTGCCATCATCGAACTCATTTGACAGCATCTTTGTCGTGGTAGTTCGACTTACAAAGATGGCGCACTTTGTCCCTTGCAAGAAGACATCATCCATTGAAGTCATAGCAAGGCTCTTTCTCAATAATGTGTATCAATATCATGGACTACCAGATGATATTGTATTAGATCGAGGAACCCAGTTCGTATCAAAGTTTTGGATATCTCTCTTTGAGATACTGAAGGTGGATATCAAACTTTCTTTGACTTTTCATCTTCAAACTGATAGCCAAACGGAACGGATGAACCAAGTCTTGGAACAATACTTATGATGCAGCATCAACTATTAGTAAGACGATTGGACCGCTAATCTGTCGCTAGTCGAGTTTGCATATAACAACACCCTCTATGCGTCGACTCAATACACACCATTCTTTTCCAACTATGGATATCATCCGAAGCTTGATTTATTGAATCCGTTAACAAATAAGAATCTAGCAGTTGAAAGATTTGCGAAACAACTATCAGAGCTTCAAACTACATTGAAGCTTTAATTATAATCTGCTCAAGAATCCTACAAGGCGTCTGTAGATAGATTTCGAAATCAAGTACCTACTTTCAAAATTGGAGATAAAGTATGGCTTCTTCGATGGAATATCAAGACCAAGCGATCATGTGATAAGTTGGACTATCAAAGATTGGGACCATTTATCATCCAGAAGCAAATTAATCCAATAGCGTACCGTCTAGAATTACCGGCTTCTATGAAGGTACATCTAGTCTTTCATGTTTCTCTGTTGGAGCCTTATCGAGAGTCGTCTTTTCCTGGAAGAGTGCAATGTCCGCCACCTAGTATTGAGATCGAGAACCACGAGGAATACGAGATTGATAAGGTGCTGGATTCACGGCGAAGATGGGGCAAGTTGGAGTATCTTGTTCATTGGTGTGGCTACGACATTAATGAGCGAATGTGGGAGCCAACTGAAAATCTCGCCAATGCGCCGCAAAAGATACAGAAGTTTCACCAACAATATCCTCATAAACCTAAGCCGGTTCGACGATAGCTTCCTTCTGAAGCTTGCTTACCCAAGAATATAAGAAAGGGGGAGAGCACCACCAAAATTCGTAGTTGATGTAGTTATTTTTTGCAAGATAAAGTAGAATTTTTTCAGTAGCCATAGTTTGGTCTTCTGATATGGATAGCCAAGAGATAGATATTATACTAGTCAGATTATCTCAACCAACTAACTCACGAAGGCGACCCCGAAATGAAGAATTGCCTACACCATGACGACGATGGAGGATACCGAGTAATCGATCATTGGTGATTGTATTTGAATTCGAGCCTACTTACGATGGTCAGCCAAAAGGCGTGTTTATAGGACAATTTCACAATGAGGACACGGAAGTTCATGCTTGGTCAAAAGTCAAAGGCGTGGGCCACTACCGTTGGCTTCAAGGGCCGATGAACCACTTGCCTCGTGAACAACAGTTGGAGTTCATAGCAAACATTATGCGACATATCTTCATTTTCTTACATTGGTAGTGATTAACAACAATATTGCTTCTCAGAGACCTCAAAGCTAAAGAAGGGAGTGATGTTAGGAACATAGTTCTTAGAACCTTCTAGAGATAGGTTTCTAGAACCTTCTAGAAGTAAGTCTCTGGAACCTTCTAGAAGCTTTCTAGTTGATAGAAATTGCTTGAGAAGCTTCCTAGTTGGTAAAAGATGTTAGGGACATAGTCCTTAGAACCTTCTAGAAGCAAGTCTCTGGAACCTTCTAGAAGCTTCCTAGTTGGTAGAAGTTGCTTGAGAAGCTTCCTAAATAGGAGTATATATTGGAATCGAGGCTGAAGAGTTCTTCAGTCTCGACAACACATCTCTTGGAGCTCTAGTTCACCTCTCTGGTGTTGTTCTTGTATCCATCTGATTAATCTAGTTCTTGTCAATTCTTCTTAAACTTCTTATTAGATCTCGAGCCTGTATTTCTGTGTCCATGAAAAATACTTGCAATAATATCAATTACTGTAAGTTGCATTGATTTGGACTTATTACCATAAATAATAGATCAAAGTTTGTGAGCTTTAAAAAATAAAGTGATTTTATACTTCTAGACATTCAAATATGGCGTATTAATTTTTTTTGACAATTATGTGCCTTAAATTTTTGAATGAGCCATATTACATAAAAATATTTATCTAAGATCTAATATTATAGAATGTATTAATACATTGCAATCACATGCAAAGTATTAAAATTTTCTAAAAAAATATAATTCTAACTCTAACACTCAATAAGACTATTAAAGAATCAAATTGAATTAAATTTCTATAAGATAAAATATCCTAAGTACATAATTAAGGATCATACTTTCATACTAAGATACACATTTTTATATTATTTATTAAATGTAGGACTAATTATTTGCTACAATACATATGTCTAATAAATATTTGCATTTAATAAAATCTACTTTGGATAAATACTTTTAGTTTAACTTTTTTCAAAGTTATGCAAGTTTTTTTGATTAAATAAATCCTTGAATTCATAAGATTAATAATTTGGTTGTTGGAATAGAGATGACATTTTTCAAAAAAAACACATGATTCTTTGTTTTTTAGAAAAATATCTTCATATACTTGTTTGTTTGTTTGTTTCTTTTTTTTTGTTTCTTAGCTGAAGAAAATAAAATAATAGATAGACAATCCATTTACATTAGAGAAGAGTATTGCAAAGGAATACATTTTAAAATCTATCTTTAAAAAGATTACAAAAAAAAAAAAAAAAAAAAAAAAAAAACTATCATGTGATTTTTGAATAAATTTTTCTTTTTTGCATTTTTACATTCCAACTATGGTATTCAAACTTATTTCTAAGATCCACCTAAAATTTTTAAAAATAATAAGTAGAATTAGAAATAAAAAAAATATAATATGGATTATATTAAAAGCTTTATTGGATATATTTCAAAAAGCCCCTATGCAGATTGCAACTTGCATAAGGGAGATTTTAGGAATAAGTCAAAATTATGATAAATTTCTTGAGATTCAAAGTTTTGCATGGTTTTACCATTTGACAAAGAGTAGAAGTTAGAGGTTCTGCTCACCATTTCTTCTTACAACAAAGTATAACTTAATCTTAATTAATTATAATAACCTTTCTGATAAGAGTTGTTTTTCCATTACAAAAAATCATTAAATAAGAACTTTTAGGGCAATTCTGTAAAAGGAAGTAGATTATTTTGAAAAGACCACAAGTTCAGCTAGTTAACAAACATAAAAACACCCAAAAACCCTAAACTTGAAGGGAATGACGAGCCGGGGTTCGTGCCATCCTCGTCACTACTTGGCCCAAAAACCTCTTTATTCAATCGACTTGTTCTGCCATTGTGGGCAGTCAGATCGCAGATGCCGCTCAGATGCAATCTCAACCGCTGATCGAATTCTTGGGAACGGAGGGAGGGAACGTAGGGAACTAGGGGGTGGGCAGGCAGGTTGGAGGCCGGGCAGTTTGGAGGCCGAGTAGATTGGAGGCCGAGTAGATTGTAGGGCGGTAGGCAGGGAACTCAGTTGCCATTCCTCATTGGGCCCACATTGATCCACATTCTCATGCGTACTGAATTTTGTATAATACTAAAATTACACAAAATATATTTGAAACACCCTTAGTTTAGTGATACATATTGATTAGAATAATATTATTAAAAGAAACTATAGTTTAGATTAATCAGTAATTAAAATAAATAAGAATAATGTAAAAACCTTCATGGCATCTTTTATGTTATTATTTTTGTATCTTTGAAAAACACATGCAATTTCTTGTACACACATACAATTGTACTAGAAAAGATAACACAATTGAATCTGTGAGGCAACATAATTGAAGTTATTTTTTATTTCTAATTTTAAAATTTTATTCATTGTAAGTTTAAAATTCAAAATACCATATTCACTAATGTAATAATATATATATATATATATATATATAAAATGAGAAAGGTCATTCAACAACATGAAAGCCTCACAAAAGTAAAAGGGAAGAGTCATCCGGGTAAGTAATTAGGGCATCAGCATCACCCTCCTCTTCAGGGCTACATTGTATATAAATATTTAAAAAGAATTGTTTGAAGCAAGAGTGATGGTTGAAAAGTGGGATTTAGAGGCAGACTTTGAACAAATTTCAGCACGCATGTGAATGTGGATCAGTGCGGCCCCAATGAGGAATGGATTCTGAGTTCCCAACCTGAGTTCCCAGCCTGCCCCCCCCCCTCCAAACTGCCCGGCCTCCAACCTGCCTGGTTCCCTACGTTCCCAGAAATCTGATCGGCGGTTGAAATCGCATCTGAGCGGAGCCAGTCGATTGAATGTATAGGTTTCTGCGACACAATTCTACGAGGGCGTGCATTGACTCAGCAGTGGTTTGGTCATCTCCAAGCTTTGGATTCCGCCATGGCCTCACAACTCTGCGGCCGGAATCCTTGCTTGGCTTCCATTCCATTCCATTCATCCAGAGGCTGCGTTCATGAGGGGTGTTACATCTCTGCCGTCCGCCGTGTGTTGTGGATGTGAAGGACCCTTTTCAGGTTGGTCTCAGTGGATTGCTCTTCGGTGTCACTGTCTCTCAATTCTCTCACATTTCTTCTCCCGCATGTGATAGCTTCTCTGTGCTTGCCCCTGGTTGTGCGGCATTGCAAGGATTTCGTGTTAGAACCTGAAGTAGTTCTGGGAGGGAGGGGCTTTCGTTGTGGAAGAGTGCGGATAGTGCGCTAAACTATTAATTCAGGTTCAGAGGACGACGATGATTCGACTGAAACTTGTGGGTCCCCCGTGAAGGACTCTGCTTACGTGGGTGTCTTTGGGTGGGACTATGAATTTAGCCATTCTTCGGAGGTTTGATAAACCTGGGTTGTAGAGAGTAGGGAGTAGGGTTTTGGGGGATTTGGGATTTTTGGGTGACAGAGGCTCTGGAAATGCAGAAATTTCCGAGGATGAGTGCGAGTGTGGCGTTTAGAGCTATGGTTCATATCCCGCTGCCTCGCATTCTGCGCAGAGCCTGCCCAACTGCCACACGTGGTTATGGTTCCAGTGCAATCTTGCATCGGAGAGCTGGAATTGCCCGAAGGATTACTTGCGACGGGACGTTGCCCCAGGGAAATGGTACGAAGCTGACTTTCTCGATATGGATTGGACGTAGATAATTAGACCAGGGTGTGTATTGCAAGGAACTGTTAGGGATTTACCCTCAACTTCCATCGTTCAAATTCCTAAGTCGTAGGTAACCAAATGGGCTTTTTGTTTTCAATGCATGAAAGTGTGTAAACCAAGGGCTGAATTTCTCAACAACATTGACGTTCTCTTCTGCTGTCAAAGTCATCTTGCAAATTGAATGTGAGTAGGCCTCCGTCATCACATCGTTCACATAATGATCGAATTTGGACCGAACTTTTGTGGAATGCAGAGTGTGGTAAATATTCCAACGATGGGCAATTTTCTGATTGTACGAATTTAGAATTGGCATAGGGCATTTCTGAAAGGGATTTATGGTGGGTGCTGTAGTTGGCAAGGATTTCAGTCAGAGTGCTTCTGATATGCAATTCCTGGGTAGCCAGAGAGAAGCCAGTAGCATGTGGCTGAATGTAAGCAAGCGAGGAAATCTTAGCTCACGGCATATTTGGATTTTGCCTCCGGCCCAGATGGGCAGGCGTTCGTCCAAGATTGCCACTAAAAAGGTATCATTTGAAACCAATGACTATGTGGATTTCCTCAATCATTTTGTGAATTTCTAGGAGCATCTGGTTTGTATTGTGGAAGCATGTTGTGGAGTTTCGTAATGTGATTCGTTTTACGTCCTTATCCGTGATGCCGTGTTTAAAATCTCGTTTCGTTGAAGAAATTAGTTGTTGCGTAGTCAATCACTACGTGATAATGTCAAAGTGAGTGATAATCTTAGATACACACAAACACACACTTCAAGATTGAATCAAAGTCCATGTTTCATTGGTCTTTGGGGTCGAGCTATTCTGAATGCTTCCTTATCTGTCTGCACATCCAGGGAGCACAAGACAAGAAGAAGGCTAAGTTGTACGGGAAGATGGGAAAACAGATCGTTAAAGTGTATGTCTTTCACCTCTTACTATTTAGAGCCACTGTTGGTGTCAATCTGGCATCATTGGAACTAGTTTATATTATGCCACTACATGTTCAGGATTCAACGAATTGCTTCTTGAGTGACCAGGGAGGAAGCGTCCATGCTTTCACGAGGTTGTAAATAAGATAATTGGGGGTGGCCCGATGTATAGTGTCAAAGCGGGAGGGCCCAATCCAGCTGCAAATGCAGCACTCGCACAATTGATACAGCAAGCTAAAGACACCGATGTCCCTAAGGATATTATTGACCGAAACATCAAGAAGGCAACAGATAAAGACCAGCAAGATTTTGTTGAACTGACCTATGAAGTAAGTAGGCTTAATCTCCCGAATTCAATGATTTTGGATGCTTCAACATTCTGAGCTGTTCTATCCAGTACTTGTAGCACCTACTCAAAACTAGCAGTGTAGAGTTCCTAAATGCACAGCATAATTCGTGTGATACTTCGGTCTACATGTTCGAGACTTGATCTTGATGGTAATTGTTTTGCTGTCAGGTTTATGGTTATGGAGGGGTGGGACTAGTGTTGGAAGTTCTCACGGATAACCATAATCGAGCTGCATCTACCATTCGTGATGTTGTCAAGAAAAATGGGGCTAAAATGGCAGACTCAGGGTCTGTGCTTTTCAATTTCAAGAGTGCGGGAGTAATCTATGTTAAAGCTGACAAGGTAGAAGCAGATGATTTACTACTTGCAGCAATGGACGCTGGTGCGGAAGATGTAGTAGAACCTTCATCTGATGACGAAGACGACGAAGAAGATGATGAGAAGTAGGTTCTTGACAACCTTCATCTCTCAGAATATTACCACCGAATCACAGTTTGGTCATACACTAATGCAGGTGTTTTGGTTTTTCTGATATGACGTATTGTTTGCCGCAGATACTTCAAGGTGCTCACGCCAGTGGATCAGTTTGCAACCGTGCGTGCTGGCCTGCAGGAGGCTGGTGTTCCATTCGATGCTGACAGTTCTGGTCTGGAGCTCATTCCGGTTGCTGAGATTGAGGTGCCTTTCCCTAGCTGATTACGTTTCCTGTCAATTGGATGTTATCCCTGTTACTCTTCTATTTTCGAGAAGCAAAGTGTTAGCATTTTTGCACTTCCATATCAACTGCCTTGAATGCTTTCGTGCCCCGATAACTCTAGAGGTGGCCACTGAGTTTGTAAAGCTTTTGAACTTTGACGCTGTGGTTAACTTTTGAGTTTCCAAACTCGTGCGTTTCTGCGCAGGCTGATGACGAAGCAATGGATCTAAACAAGATCTTGATAGAGAAGTTACTTGACCTTGATGATGTAGATGCAGTGTACTCAAACCAAAAATAGACGTGCAAAACATTCGACGAGGGAAATTACTAATTTTATACTGTGACCCAGCATCCACAATTAGAATCATTGGCGCCACTAGAGTTCATCAGAATCTTTTTCTATCTTAGCAGCTTATTAGTGTATCATTTCACTTTCACGACTAGTAGTGGGCATTGGACATGACACGTTTAATGTCGAAACCATTTTTGCATTTATTCTGTAACCCGAAACCTTCTTTTGAAAGTTAATTCATAGGCTAATGATGGATAAAATTTTATCTGATAAAAAATCCCATTCTTCCGTCTATTTTCTTCTTGGGACTTCAGTTTTAATGCTCTTAGCTTCGGAGGCTGACCCAATCGCAACTGGTGCCAACCACGTTCACAAAAGCGAAACACTTACACAGCCTTGCCAGGCACTTGAGTGTTTTTGCTGAAAGATCTTTTGACCTAGATAAGAGTTAGTCGGCAGCCACAGGGACACATGTCGAATACCCGTCGATGATTGGAGGCAGCAAACGGAAAAATGATATCTAATTTGCGAAAAACGTGCATGTAGCAGGGACTGTAAGCTCATTAGATGTGTAGAAATATAAGCATCCGAGATCACACCCTTGAGTTGAACTGGAACGAAAATGCGCTTCTAACAATTCTATTGCATCTAAGCTTGAGATTTACATAATAGCATCGAAGATGTGCACTAGTTCAGACTCTAGTGTAAAACGAATCAATGTCGTGATCTACTGTAGCCCTTCAAATTTTGCACTCAATGGAGCGTCTCGACAGGAAAGTGGTTGATGGTGTCGTCCGCAATCTCCTCTATGTATTTGCGCCCACTTTGTGAGCATCTGAAATTGAATCTACACGCATCCTCGTAAAGCTCTCCCACCCCAAATTGGGGCCAGTTGATAAACTGTCACCAACCCATCGCCCTGTAAAATTTAAGTACCTAAGTTTCACAACTTTAACTTAAATTTCGCATTTTTTCCTGTTTTTTCTCGATATCATGGCAATTTGTGGTACGGGAACCCTGGTGGCTTCGGCACATACCGCCGCTGTCTGTTGATTGCGAGGTTGATTGCAGGGAGCTTCCGGGCGATGTCCTTCCACACCATATTCACGGCGTCGTTCTTTCGAGTCGGATGCTGGTACTCGAAGTGGTGCTCGACGAGCAGCAGCTGATTCCATAGCTGTGTCCACTCTTCCTCGCTCACATTCCGAAGCATGTTGATGACGTAGCCGGGTTTGAGCGCTAGCGAGGAGTTGATGAAGATGCAGAAGTTGGAGTAGTCAAGGGTGTCCTCGAAGGGCAACTCGATGTCATCGCTAATGATCACCGGAACGCAATGGCTGACAATGGAGTCAAATAACCGGTTCGATGAAGGCGTGTCACCCGCCATGTTAAGACAGAACTTGGACGACCTCATCCCAATCGTGGCGCTTTGAAAACCGTCGAGGGCTGTGTTACCTGTAGTGAAACGCACCCCAGGTTTGTCCTTCAGAAGACGGTAAAGCTCGTGGCGTATCTTGCCGCCCTCTTTACGCACAATCGCGCCCTGGAAGAATAGCAGAATTTTCCTCGTGTGGAAGGAGGAATCATCGAAATCAAAAGTGGGAATCACATGCTTGTAAGGCGCCACTACATCCTTCTGGATGTTGGCTACTTCGCTGTCGTAGCGGCCAAAATCTGAGACAATGAAGAGCGAATTCCGAAGCCGGTTCCGCGTCGCCTGCATGCTGTTCGGATGGTGGATCACAAACACATGGTCTCTCCCACCAGAAGCTTTCCATGCGGGCTGTTCCTCCAAAAACTTCACTAACTTGAGCTGAAGCACATCGTTCTGGTCTTTGATCAGATCAGTCAAGCGCTTCTCCTCTGAGGCTTTCCCGAACCGGTTGTAGCTCAGGGAGGCGAAGAACGGCACGAATATTACATCAGCATCCCGCCAATCCGCTACACGGAAAGCAGTACAGGCGGTATTACGATCTGCCATGTTTGATGTGAGCAAGTCCGAGGTGAGCCAATGCTCAGGGCTGTGCTGCTGGTACAGCCCCCCGGGGTACTCCGGAATCTCCGAGCCATTGCGGGGCCAGTACTGACCCTTTTCCACTTCGTACCCTGGAATCAAGCCATAATGAAACTCGGAACTCAGGTCATACATGTAAACTTTGAGCTCAGCTTGCCAGTAGTTGCAGCCTTGGACTTCATCCTCGGAATCACCCTGACTGCCGACGTCGAATGACTCCAAGAATGACGCAACGTCGGACTCCGACGCTTCATCTAATTCCGAACCTGTTAGAGGAGTCTCCTCGCCTGCGACGTTGGTTTCGAGTGACTGCTTGTTGAGACGGAGGTAAGGAAAGTATGACACAGTTGAGATCTTGCGAGAGCCCTCTGTCTCCCTTCCCGAGTGGTGACGATAGAAACTGAACCCTGAGACAGCGCAAATTACGAATAAAGTAATCGCGAGCAAAAAACAACTCTTTCGTATCCCGTGGTCCTTGCAACATTGTGACGGCCTGTTTGCGCTCTTGGATCGTTTCCACATTTGAACTCGATCTGAGTAGAAACAGCAGTCGTCTATAACCGCGCTGCAACGACGCCGGGGTGCTCCACAAACAATCCAGAGAGCTAGTAATTGGAAATCTTATGCAAGCCATTAAATTGGACCCAGTGAAGTCATTTCGGAGAGGCTAGCAGAGACCCTGGCGCAACACCCTGCCTGTTGTAATATCACAGACTCCAAAGCTCTTCTTCGTTGAATTCGATAGCCTCCTCGTCAGTGAATTCGGAGTTATTAACCTACACTTGTTAAAACGGACTGCGCAATTTCCCTATTTCGCAATACTGCTGCAAGTGAATCTTAGAGCTGCTTTGGTGCCTTGTACTCAAATCCCTGAACCCCTACTCAATCGGTAGTCTCCTCCGCAGACTACGGAACCAAAAGTTAATAATCCCTCGCTTCGAGACAACAATCTAAATCGATCAAGGACGAGTATCTCGACCAGTTCGTACAAAACCGCTATAGAAGTATCTGCTACGAGGTGATAGTTCCAGGAGTGAAAATTCAGCCAAAGTGTAGAGTTTCCGTCAATATCCCTCATCGACACTAAACAATTCTGCTGCGATCGCTGCAGGGGTGAGCCTCTCTAGCCTAAGAATACTTCTGGCGAAATATTCGATGAACGAGTTGACACACCAGGAAAGACGCGATAAGTTCTGCAACTTCACGCTACCGACGGAATGGTAAATCCAAGTAAATTTTTGAATCGATATTTGACTGCGGGCTCACCATGCAAGTTCATCCAAGTGCATCGAAGCAAGCTCACGTCGACCAACTCGACGGCGAGCCGCAGGAACCCACCTGGACCGACTCCAAAGAATGCGACATCCCCAGAGGATTATTGTAAGATTGGGTTGACTGGTTCAGAAACACCGTGCGGTTAAGGAAGTCAAAAGAACCAACATATTTATACAAGAATGGTCTGCAAGCGATCTTTCTGTCCAGTCAGTCCAGAGCTCCCACCAGCCCAGCGAAGCTTGTGGCGATGAATGGATCTGCAGACGTACCCGTAAAACATGGACTGAATCCCGAGCATTTGCTGGAAGTTGGACCAAATTTGCGACACCCGGCCCAAAAACTCCATGTGGGGTCCCTCAGGACGGTTTTGAGCCATTCCGACGTTCACTGATCTACGAAACAGTCACACTGTACATCTCTCTTGTATTGGTGGAGTATCGTAATTTATCTTCGCAGTCATCTTGTTCCAATGCATGTGTTGTTGTATTACAAACATACTGATTACGGATAAGGAAGGAAGGTTGATACGAATTCACCAATGTCTCGTTTGTTTGTTTGTTTGTTTGTTTCCACTGCTAAAAGCATCACTCGTATGGAATACACCTTAGCATTACATACTCACTAAATTATTGACAGCTTGTTGATGTATGCATCAAGATGTTTCGTGAGGTGAATTTACAAAAGAATTCACAATCTTCAAATTATATTGGGGATTCAGAATTTCCTACTCAAAAGGCTACCTCACTGAACAAAATTTACCACGTACAATATGGATACATTCATAAATAAATAGGTGGATTATGGAGAATAACATGGTACCAATCATTGAACTTAAAAGGTACCATATCCACAGTGTCTAACACTCATTTCACCTCGAAAAAATAATTACTGTGAGGACAAATGCATATCTGAAACTCGAGCAGCTATTTCAACGGATTTCAAGCCTTCAGTAGATCATGTGCAAATTTATTTAAAATTTTCTGGTTTTCATCAACTATAACTAAGGGGACAACTTGCGTAGGGCTTGCCTTTGTTGAGGAGCATGGCCTCTTTTCTAGTTGACAGCCGAGCGGTGAATCACGTCTAGTTTCAGAGAATACTCTCGAATTGGGAATGGAAATCATAGTTCGAAATGACTGAATTACATCATGCGGTTTTGCATGCGATCAACCCAATACTACCCAACTAATTTTAAGTGGCATGGGACATGACTGACATCACCGTCCTTAAAATAAAATGAGGAGAGGAGCTTGTTCATAGAAGCCTGAAATCAGCAATCGGTGGTGGGAGACACCCCTTTTTATGGCCCCGAGCACCACTGCATGCCCTCCCGTAATGGATGAATTTTAGAAAGATTAGTCGGTCTTCATCAAAATAAAGCATAGGCGGCACTGTGCGCTCGAGATGCGCCATGTACTGCTATCCATTCCAGAGCACATGGCTTTACAATATGAAAAAACTCTGTTGCCTAAGTTGGCGAAGTGTAGTGCAATGTAACGTCATTATCTCACATCACAGTTGTGATTTGAATTCCTCGCCTGCAGCTCTAGTTCACTACGAAGTGAGAGAAAGGCGAGCTCCTTCCTTAAAAACATCTGATTTCAGACACAGGTCATGACGGTCGCACCGAAGCGTATGGTTTTTTGAGTGTTGCAGGAGATCCATACTATACATGGAGTCTAGAAGATGATAGGCTTGACACTGCAGATTGAAGCGTGAGTATGCACTGCACAGTGATAGGAACTCGATGAAGTTCTCCATCCTTATTGAACGCGTTGGAAGAACTGCTTGGATGCGGTTCTGTAACATTCCGAAGGCTAAATCGGATACTACGTATCAATCTAACAGCATAGTGACTGAAGTTGAAGTAATTCCCCGGTCAGTTCACCGCGTCTGCCAGGTGTTTACTACTAAATCCAATGTGCTCGCCAGTAGCCACGGACTTTACCTGTCTCTTGCTTAGCCCGCAAAACATTGCTATACTTCTCCACTCACATGAAGAGTAGAATCACAGAAAAGGAAAGAAAGAAAAAATAAAATAAAATAAAATAAAATTCAAGGTATCGTGCACATTGCGCACAAGAAGCAGGCCCTGCATTCAGGCTTGGCTGTCGTGGTCTAATCAACGCAGCTCGTGCTTCAAAATGCCGCAACATGCTAGTTGCCGCGGAAATGTGCGTCCAATCCATCAGTAAACTTTCATGCAAAGCTCCATGGCCGCAGCATTTGGTGAAGAATGCTTCAGTCTCTATTTTATTGATAACTACAAATATCTTTATAAACATTAAATTTAATTATATGCCAAATCAGTTGAATCGAAGTGAAGCTGCAACTTCAACTTGGGTCCCCTGGGTACATGGAGTTTAGACCTTGCAACGCCATCATACATGGCTACGGGTTGACATTTAGTAAACCATGCAAGAGGTCGTTGAGCGTTTGAGCAAGGGTCTGGGATGGACGTATGTGAAGAGCGTTGACATTCACCTTCTATATGGTCTAATTCAAAGTTGTGTTTCGACACATACACAAAACTTGTTGGGCTGCGTAAGTAAATTTTTGTGCTGAGACATAGCTCCCATTGTTGGAGTGGGCAAAGTCCTTTGACTGTTAAAAGTGAGACTCAATAGATGGATATTTTTCGAATTCGGACAGGAACATTTCTTAACTTTTTTGTGCAATGCTCTTTTTTTTAGCTCGATATCCGATCTTTTGCTAATCCAGAAGAAAGTCCAGATGTGGATGTCAAAGTGGAGAAGGTAGTTAAGTGACAGAACGTTGCCAGGGAATTCAAAGACAGATGAGACTTCGTTTGACTGAACAATTGACCGACGTCGAATGACGAAGGTGGCTACAGATTTCCATTGTCAAAACAAAATGTGTGATATCACATGGGTGTTGAGATGTGCTGGACATGTATGGAGTGTGTGATTGCAGACAATTGAGGATTCACCTTTTTTCCAGTTTCCATCAGAAGGTTTTTTTCGAGTCACTGTCCAATCTGTCAGTAAAAGCATTCAACATGCGCATCATGCTCTCATGATTTAAGGGCTCGAGAGTTTCGCACAGCTCGAGAACAAAGTTGCACTACAGTAGCAGAATCCAACTACAGCTGCAGCAGAATACTCGTACAAAGTTCGGAGTCATGCGTGCATTGGAGTCACAATCTGCTGGAGAGTTGTCCATCTCACTGAAGAATAATGTATCACAGCACGAAGGCTGATCAAATTCACAGGCTGGTTGTGGCAATGAGGACATAAATCAAAAATTACAAGTTAAAACGAGCAAGCACAATTAGTTCAAGACATCTGGATGATCCAAAGAGTTTATGCTTTGATCCATTTTCAATAGGCACCTTAGTGACAGACGCACAAAAGCAACGAAGCTCGGACAAGTAGATGAATTGAGTTAGGCTATCCCTCCAGTTTACAGAAAATCAGCTTCCAGTTGACAATGAGAACAGGGATATCTTTGGACTCACACACAAGTGCGTGCTTATTATTTTACCACAAACCAATGTACAATGTACAATGTAGCAAGCTTAGAAATTTGACCTTAGCTGCAACCAACCAAATGCAGAAGAGTGTTGCCAAAAGTGTAGAATCAATGAACAGGTAACTGCCGAAATCCGAACTGAGATTAATGCTTGATTATTTTACGTTTCGCATCTTCCATGAAATCTGTGTTGGAAAGCAGACCGTATGTTCCTTGCATTTGAAGTTATAAAACGCACAATTTTTTTTATCAATCGTGGTGTTTTAATTGCAGATGTAGTTTAAAAGGAATTTTATTGAGTGATGACTTGAGTCTTATTAGAACTTCGGGCTTCCCTGAAGTGAACCATCGCTTAAACAAGAGCACCCATCCCCCCCCCCCACACACAGACACACACACAGCTGGTGGTTCGCCACGTATTCAACCTGAACTTTGACCTCTAGACTTCCTTCGTCAACCCATTTTTTTTCTTCTTCAATCACTCTCTCGCCCTGATATTAGACCTCAAATACGTTAAAACGAGGTTTAATTACCAGAGATTAACGCTGATTCGAGCTCTGAAAGGAAAGCTTCGGACACGTAGCATCGTCAACATGGCAAAGACTAAAAGGGGAACACGAGTATGATGCATGCAAAGACAAAAGACCTCCGCCTGACTCTCTTGTGCGGCTGGCTCGGCCCAGCGGCGAGGAATCTCTTTTTTTTCCTTACCCCCACGTTGCCACAGCCCACGCCTATCGAAAGCAGAGCACATAGAATCTGCAAAACTCGTGCTCTGTCGTGACTTCCGGCGACCTCGCCTTAGAACAAGATCAAATCTCCCCACCCCCAACCAACCGACTCCAGCTTGACGTGACGTGATCAAAGGAAGATTTAGGTTTCGCCTTCTTCCCCGGGACCCACATCGCCATGCAGTAGTGAGTGCCCTAGCTTCGCATGGCATAGCTTCAGGGTGTCGCAAGCAATAGCACGGCTCTGATGGCATAGCTTTGGTGAGGACCCCACTAGCACATCCGAACTCATGATCCTCTTCCTACACTCACGATCGTCCTCCTACACTCTCTCGCTCTCTCTTACACACAAACAAACACACACTCGCTTACTCACTCACTCACTCACTCACTCACATACACACTCACACACGAAGAGCTCCTGGTGTACACACACACACCCTGGCCTGCCATATAGATCCTGCTTGTGTGCTGGTACAAAACCAAGCGCCAGGGGTTCTTGAGGATCTATTTGGCAAGAGCCTGGATTTTGTGTCAACCTACTCAGATTTCCGGTGCTCCTGCTGGATTACCGGATTGGCAAGGACAACAACCAACCATGCAGCCTGCCCAATGCTTCTGATATTAATGAAGCCCAGCAGCAGACCGACCTTGGGCGTTAGATAAGCTACGTTTTCTCACAACTTCAACCCACCTGCTTTCTTAGCAGCAGCATTGCCAGAGACTTCTCATCAACCGTTAAGATTATGTTGTGTTCCCCTATTTCAGTTGATGTGTCAATCTAGTTGGAAATGATGTCACCAGGTAATGCAAAAACTAAAACTAAAACAAAAACCAAACAAAATGAATAAAATAAATAAATAAAAAGCAGTGCAGGCACAGGGACAAATGATGGACCTGGCCCCAGCTCCAACACTG